AATTACTCCTTGCATTTTCCACAGCAGCCATGGGATGTTCCCAAGGGGCACTGCAGCCACACAACCGAGTCAGCTTGCTGAGGCCAAGGATCTTAGTCAGCTTCTCTGTGACCTGTGGCTGTGTGTGTATCCCCCTGCAGAAGGGTCTGTCCTGCCTCTGCAGAGACACCAGCTTGACCTCTCCATCACATCTGGCTCAGGAAACATTGTGGAGTGCTGAGAGGTGAATGCCAAAAACCTGGATAGCTCCTTGCATTCAGGGTGCTGAGATGCTCTGTCCAGCTGTGGCTGGTGTCATCCGAGGGTCTGGCAGATCAGCTCCTCCCAGGAGGGTCCTGATCTGGCTTTAGGCATGATGCAAACCCCATAGGAACAGCTCCCCTGTGGTGTGTTGTCACTTCTGATTCCCATCACAGCTGAAACCAGACAGTGCTGAGACACAGGGGAAAAAATGGTTTAAAAATTAACCCTTAGAACCTGGGTCAGGACCTCTCTGGATGAAACAGCTACTGGAAATCTGGAAAGGTGATATAGGAACCAGCATGGTGAGACAGGTTGGCTAACATCTGGAGGACACACTGTCTGCCAGACAGCAGCCTCCTCACTGGGCTGGTGGAGAGAAAGAACACTCTCCCAGGCAGGCAAGCTGTCTTTTTCCAGCATGGAATGCCAGGAGGAGGCTGCAGAAAACACTCCCCTTCTCCCAGCCTCCCACCAAAAAAAGCAGGAATACCTCCCTTTCCCCACATAAGCTGCCACCTCACATCCCAAGTCCCTGTCTCCATGTATGATGTGACTGCCCCCAGCATGAACCCACACAGCCACGCTGGGAAAGCTCCAGCCTTTCCCTTCCAGTACAAATCCCTCAGGAAGTTCTCTTCCAAGCACCATTCAGCTACTAGTTACTTTAACGTATAGAAAGATTCCTTAAAATCGTTGCTTTTGCACACCGAAGAACAATTTTATATATAGGTATATAATTATATATACACAATTTAGGACCAAATAAGTGGAGTTCCCAACCAACAAAGCAAGAAAGGAGGAGTTAAAAAGAGAGGGAGACTGTTTCCCTAAAGACAAGATTCCAACCCAGCCACAGGCAATGCTTTCCCAGCTGTGGTAAGATACTTGGGACAAGGAATGGGATATGAAATACAGCAGAGGAGTGGTAATCAGGGCACCTGCAACAGGAGATGGTGCCAAATTCAGGAGTAAAAGCTGCAAAACAGCTCTGTGTGCTTCTCCCTGCTGGAAGCTGCAGCTGACCCACTGTCACTGCAGCTGTACCTATATATAGCTGTACAGAGAGAGATATGGATATAGAAACACATCTACAGATGTAGTCTAAGCCCAATTAGGCTGCACAGCTGCATGTTTCAACACCCAAATAACTTTAGATGTTTTGCCTCTGATTGTAACTGTGTTGTTCTGTTTTTTCCACCAGTATAAGAGCACAGCTGAAAGCAGAAGGGTTCCAGACATGCTTGTGGCAAGGAGGTGATGAGGGAGTTGGAGGAAAAAGGGTTCACCTTTATTGTGACAAAGAGAAAAGGAATGGGCAGAAAAGGAAGACAGAGAAGGAAGATTATGCAAATCAGTAGGAAAAGGGAAATTAATTCCCTTTTGCTTTGTTTTTTTTTCAAGTGGCTCACTGTGTTTTCTCCACAGTTCTGCTTTTACATCAAAAAGCACTTCTGGTGTAAACAGAGCTCAGCCAACAGGCCAAGTGCACTTTGTATTTGTGCATGTGGAAAAGGCTTTCTAGGCTAAACCTTGCAAGAACTTACTTACTGAGGCACCAGCCACGATGGGCAAGGTCTGAAGGAGTCTATTCCCAAAATAGTCACCAAACACTACACAAAGCACAGGTATAAAAAGCCACTTTTCATCACAGAACCACATTTCAGTGTGTAGCAGGTAAAGGAGAGGAAACAAATACCAACCATGACGGGGAAAACAAGGCAAAACAAGGAGAAAATCACATAAAGGACTGAGGCAAAAAGTTTTTCAACCATGTCTGCTCCACACATTATTCACAGGGTGGGAGAACTGGGCCATTCTTTTGCCTACAAATATATGTATCAGGCTTTGTCTATGTAATCAGCCAGGGTGTGACACACAGCCAAAGACACTGGGTGCAGAGCTGCCTCAGGGTTGTGCCTCCAGCCCAGGAGAGCTGGAACAGCTTTGCCCTCTGCTGGTCAGAGCTCCTGTGGGGTCACCACAAGGTACCTCAGCCCGGCCCAGGCAGGACCTACTGTTCCATGGGCACCCCTTTTCCCTTTCCCCCTCCTCTCCCATTTGTTTTCTCCCTCGGGCGTTTGTTTGGGTCCACTCAGAATGACACAAGAACACCAGTGACTAGGCACTGTTTGTCCAGCACAAATCCAGTCACCTTGGCAACAGGAAGCAAAGCATTCCCAGATCCCCCTGCCTTCCTTTTCCCTCGGTTTTGCAGGGATGAATAGGAGAGCTGGGCTGGCTCTGCTGAGAGCTAACAACAACTTGTGGGCTGCCAAGTCACTGGAGAATTGGCAACTTCCTTGCACCCTCCACAGCAACATCATCGCTTGTAGGTGAGGTAACTGCATTGCTCTCTCACTCAGCCACATCTCAAAGTCACCCAAGCATCCCTTATCTAATTATTTTGCCAGCACTGTGCAGCATTATTCCCATGATTTAATCCTGCCTGAGATCATTAGGCACTATGGGACTGTTAAGTAAGCAATTATGACACTGACCTGTGTTTTTGGGGGGACCTGGGCAGGGAAATGTCTTTGTCATCTACCAGAGGGTAATTTGCTAAGCTGATTTAGAGCCTCTCTATAAAAAAAAAGTAATTTGCTTACCTGTTGCCTTTCAAGGATGCTTTAAAGTCTGATTTAAACTAGGACATGAAGTACATCTTAAGGAAAAAAAAAATCAAACACACAAAACACCAATATCAGTTGTATAAGGTAAACCAGGCAATGTTAAATCACAAACTCAGTACCAGTATCGTATGTGATCTCTGCCCCCCCCCCCCCCCGAATTTTTGCTTCCTCCAGGGGACAGTAAGATGAGGACAGTCCAACTTAAACATTAAGACAAGGTGCAAAATCAGATCTAAGAAGGACTTTCTACACTGCAGGGACAAGTAGAAAGGGCAATGGGGTTAGCAGCACCATGCTGTGAGCCACCAGCTACTGAAATCTGCAGGTCCAGTAGTCCTGGAGTATCAGGAGTGTGGACGTTCCACTAAAACCAGTCCACACAGAGTCTGCAGCTCGTGGAAGAGAGGTAAAAATATGAGTGCTAAAAATAATCTCATATTTAGCTCTGTGCTGGGTCAGGAAGAGCAGGATCAATGCTGGTTCTGCTCCAGGCAGATCTGTGTGGAACGATGTTCTCTCAAAACACTCAGGGCAGACACAAACATCAGCAGAAACAAATGAGCATGCCAAGGTTGTGAATTCCTATAATAAAATGTATTTCTTGGGGGGGGGGGGGGGAAGCATAAAAGGAAAAGGCACTCTTAGAAGTTCCTAGAGGTCAAATACAAAGTACCTTCAGGGATGCAACTCTTGGGATGGTAGAACTCAACAGCTAAACTCTTTCTTCTTAGCAGATGTCAACAGAGAGAGAGATAACAGCAGCAGAAAATAACTGTTACGCACATTCATGACAAAAAACCCCCAAACATATATAAACCACTCTGGCATACTTGAGAATCCATCTAGGCCATCCTGTCCATTCCTGACTTCTGAATTCAGTGGCAAAAATCTGTTACTAACTTCTTCAGGAATCACTAACACCACTGCTGAAGCAGATTGCTGCACTGATATGGAAAAGAAGGAAAAGAAAACTGATGTTTATGTGTAAAGAGTTAACCTGTGTAAATACGGAAAAGGGCAGAAAGGTGATTTCTGTGTTCAAATCAGGAACTATTAATAACGGAGCCAAACTCCTGCATTTAAGCTTCTGCAATTCTGTTCCACTCTGCACCAGACATAAAATGAATCATTTATGGCCTGAATCATTTATAATGTGGATATACTTTGGACTGAAATGAATTTCAGCAGCAAAATCCCAGACATCTTACCCAGAGTTGGCTGTTGGGTTTATTTTTTCCCCTTCATCACAGACATGGAAAAAGGAATCTGTCTTGCAGGCAAGAAAGGTAATAGGTCTATTGGATCAGATGCCTAAAGACATTCATTGATCAATTCTTTTCAGTGTTAGGTATGAAAACTGCTCTCTATTGTGCTATCAGATAACTCACCTAAAATGAGAGTCAAAGATTTAATAATAAGGGATGAAAAATGCTGCAATTGGGCTGAACATCCAAATACTGAAGTCCCCAAAACAGCACCTCAGCCTTCCCCCCTTTCCCCTGCTCTCCTCTGGGAGCAATCATCCACACACAATTTCCAGGAACCATTAACAAGCTCTTCCCCTGCAGCCCCGAGAGTTTGTGCCTTATCTTGCACTTTTCCCCTCTGTATTCCTGTTATCTTCGATCTGATCACTGCTATTCCCCCTTCATGGAGCTATGCTAATCCTTCCCATTCCCTCCCTTCCCTCCAGGCGCCTTAGTCATTCACAAGTACAACTTCGGATACAATTCCTGACTTAGCTTTAGGTTATTTTGTTGCTTTTGCGTTGAAATATTGTCAGTCTACAATGACATCCTTTAAATCCATTGAAATCATCATCTTAACTTGATCACTTCTCTGCAAGCGAGAACTACTCCTGGAGCTAAGTGCAACCACATGTACCAAGGCAAGAGGTTCTTATTCCTTCCTCTGAAGATTCTTCTAAAAGAAAACAAGTCTAAATTCAATTTAAAGTGTAATTTATACAGGTAAATTTTATCCCAGACTCACATTTCCTGTCAGCCTTAGCCACTTGAAATCACATGAAAGATTATTCTCCTGCATTTTGGAACAGCTGGATGGAGCAAAGAGAGGCCTAGAGTGATGTATGTAGCATTACCCACTTTTATTATTCACAGTGTCATCAAGAAAATGGAAGAATTAGAGAGGAACAAGTCAAATATTTTCTCAAGCATTTTATTTTAGAACCTAGTGTATAAAACTTCAACATACAAAAGAAAAAACAACCCAAAACCAAACAAAATAACAGAACCAAAAAAACCCCCCAAAAAACCCAAACCAGAAGTGAACTAAAGCAACATCTCATAATACACATGTTCCAGAAAGCTTTACCTAAAGGCTCAGAAGCAGTAAAACATTCAGCCTAGTTAAAAATGGGGGTCAGAACCATCTTCATAAGTTGCAGTCTGCAGAGTTATGGCTCCAAGGGCCTGGGTTGGTTTGCTGTAAGCAGTGGTGCTTGTGGGGCTGGTTTTGGTTGGTTTTAAATACCTACAGTTCACTTCCAACATCAGTCCTGGTTAGTTATCATCAGTGAAGCGAATGTGTCTGCTGGTTTGTTGGGTCTTTTCAAGTCTTATCCTCTCAGCTTTAGCAATCAGCTGCAAACAGGGAAAATATTGGGGAGAATTAGAGGAAAACTCTGTTGGTCTTTATCTTATAATCATGAAGATATTATTCAGATCTACCAAACTTCCTAAGAAAAAGCTTACCTTTGAACACTTGAGCTAACCTGGACATCTCTCAAAAATAAATATAATTTCAGCATTGCTTCAGAACTGTATCTTTTATTCCATCCCTTCTTCCTCCCAACATGGCTGAACAGAAAAAAACCCCAATTTCAAACCCCTAAAACACAGTCTCATACAGTCAATTAAAGAATTCTACCCTTGTATTGGATTCATTTTGTTACTGATGTAGGAAAAACAAGGTTAGACCACACACACACAAAAAAAAAGTGGTTTAGGGATATTGTGGCATTTTAAAAAGGAAAAGATCTCCACACACTCAGCACACCACACAGAAACCCACACAGCAGACACAAACCCCACACAAGAAGAAATACAAACCCACAGAAAAACCACACACAGGAATTAAAAAAACCTCACAGAAACAGCACACAGGAACATATACAAATACACAAACCCACTGAAAACATACACAAACCCCACAGAAACAAACAAAAAAAAACCCCAAAACCCAAACTACACAAGAACAAGCACAAAAATCCACACAAGAACACACACAAAAGCTACAGAAACCACAAAAGCCCCACAAACTCATACAAACCCACAAATAACCCACAAGAACCCCCAAATCACCATAGTAATAAACACATACACGAAGCACACAGTGCCACAGGGACACACAAAAAGGCACATGGAGGAACCACACAAGCCAACACATGAACACACCTAAAGGTACATACAGAACCCACAGAATTCACCCGAAGGCACATACCAAGCTCACAAAACCCACCAAACCCCACACTCAAAGGCTCGTACAAGACCCAGAAAACCCACCACAAGAATACACAGAAACACACACATACAGCAGCCACAAACCACCACAGGAACCACAAACCAACAGAAGAAACCACAGAAAAATGCCCTCACACACACACCACACAAAACCCCACACTAAAACACAGACAAAACCCTAACACACATACAAAACCCACACCAAAACCCAACCAACCAAAACCCAAATGCAAGGAAGGGGCCAGGCTGCCTAGTGGGAATGAAAAGGGACACTTGTTCACTGATCAATCCAGTAAAGTTTGCTAGATTTGAACAATCTGACCAATAAACCAACTTATTTACTACTTCTGCACATGACTGTGGTGGCTGTGTCCTGCAGACAGCACATCCTGCCCTTCCACAGCATGGCAGGACACGGCTCCAGCTGCACTGGCTGTGGCATTCAGCACTTCAGACCTGCTCAACCACTTTCCAGCAGTAAAAAAAAAAATCTAAAGATGTAACCAAGAGTAACTTTTACTCTCTGGGATCTAAAAGAAGTCGACTTAGAAGAGTTCAGTGCCAAGGGGAAGTGAGGAGTGCAATGGTTTACTCCAACATATGGGATGGGAAGGACAAACAGAGGAAGGGAAGCTCCAAGACATGAAGAGCTCAGTGAGTGTTTCTGTATCAGCACCTCAGAATTTGCAAGAGGCCTCAAAGATTCCCATTTCCAGCTTCTCAGTCCATATTGGATTAGTACCTAAGTACAAGCACACCACTACTCATGTCTCCAACCAGATATCCAGCCCTTCCATGGACACCAACAGCACAGAACCAGGGAAAGTGCTTGTGCTCTGCAGTGGGACCACAGCCAGGGAAGGGCCCAGAGCAAGGACACAGCCCCCAGCACCACCACAAGGGACCAGTGTGGGCTGTGCCCAGGCATTCCCATTATCCTCCTACCCCACATATTCTGTCAATTATTCCACCCTTTCTCAAACACCCAGTTCTCACTTCCTCACCAAATACCTTTCACTTCTACCACCCCTCCCACCCTCTGGAACTTCCTCCTTCCCTCCGTGAAAGGAGGATACGAGGTGCAAACAGCTTCTCCCCCCAGGAGACAAGGATCCAAGTGGGAAACTGCAGGCACTCACGCCTTGGCTTTGGGAATGGGAGACTCCAATCAGTCTGGAGTTTAAGGTCACAGACTGATGAATTGGTTCAGGTTTGAATAACCTGGCACTGCCCTAAAAAGCAGTTCTGGCAGGAAGGTTTTCCAGCCCTATCAGTAAATCACTGAGGTGGTTTTATCAGGAGCTGAAGGACAGACAAAGGAGAAGATGGATTTGGAGGGGTGACAATGTACGACCAGCCCTGGGGGAAGCCTGACATTGAACAACTTAATCACTCCAAAGGATGGCCACAACTTAATCACAATTTCTGGGGAACCTTGGGATAACCTGTCTCTTTTGGATATAGAGTTTATTATAGGAACTATGCCAGAGAAATAAAATCTCTTCCACATGCTTTTGGTTTTGGGGGTGATTTTTGCTCCATTAACCTGCTGAGGCAACCCTTAATCCTTACCCTGGCCTGTCACAGGAAAGACAACTTGGAGTTTTTTACCTAACAGCTGGAAAAGAGGCAACTTAAACTCCCTAAAGTTGCACCCAGAAGCATCTCTGTGCTGCCCGTGCGGAGATGCAACTTGTGCATTTCCACACTAATGGAAAGTATAAGATGCTGTCTTAATTCCAAGCATAAAGCAGCTAACAGGCAAATGCTTCTCTTCGAAGAGAGGCCTTGTAAGGGATCTGAAAACCTTTTGAACACAACAGATCTTTACAAGATGCACTAATGGAATATTTTACTGTACATGTTTAATTATGAATAATTTTATAACTTTTTTCTTCCTCTTATTGCGACCTTCAGAAGAAATCACCTTGTGAGTACTCAGGAAGAATTCTCCAAGATTAAAATATGAATGGATAAAGAAAGAAACACTTATTTTTGATTATCCATCTCTAATTCGGAAATACAGCCTGGCAGAAAGCAAGGAAAGGGTTAAGAGCCGCTGACTGCAGCGACACATTCCTGTCTTGATGCTTTGCTCAACAGCTTTAGCATTTAAATAGCATTCCCTGAGCTTTGAAGTTCACACCTCCAGGAGTTCCAAGGTGATGGGCAGGGGGGAGGAGCAGGAGTTGGCATCCCTGCTGCTGCCATTGTTAGGCACAACCGAGACAGTTTGTATTTGCAAGGCTCGATGAGGTACATTACTGCCCAATTTAGCCCGGGTTGGTCAACAAGTAACTTCAAAAGATGAGGAACAGCAAGTTGAGAGCAAAGGCTCCTATACAGTCCAAATTAAAAGTCCAAGGTGCCACTGGTTTAAAGAAGTTAAAGTACACGAAAAAAGGGAATAACTGGCAGCAAGGAGTAAAATGCTTTAAAGCTGCACAGTTTTCACATTCCCTTTTTGCTCATATTAAAGAGTAATGGCTCAAGTCAACGCCACGTTTAGGCTTTTAAGAAAATTAAAGCAATTTGGGCAATTTTTGATGTACAACTTTGCTTAAGAGAACTCGTTTGTCTCCAGGATCTCTGAAAGAATCTTCAGACAAACAGGATAAGACATGCAAAATCTGCCTTGGACAAGAGGAGGTTTTGACCTGCACAACTACTGTTCCTTTAGCTCAATGAAATCGTTATTTTCAGTTACCTATGTAAAAACAAGAAATTTTTCGCTGTTTTGTGCATCACTGGAGCATTCAGGACACAAAGAGTCTCCAAAGGCAGCAGCAAATCATTCAGGTCAGATGATTGTGAGGTTTTGCAAGCCACAGCAGAAAGGTTGGGGGCAAAGCCAACTCAGAACCTTATCTGCAGTGTGCTTGTGTGTGTGAAGTCAACTGGCCATAAAACCTCTAGAGACACTCCTTGGCTCCTCTCTGCTAGGTCAGGGATCTGACAGGCTTCCTCAAGGAATCCTTCATGCCCCGAAGGGTCTTCTGGGGCAGGAGTGGAGGCTGGAGCCTGCAGGTTCATTGCAACACTCTCTCCATACTGTGGCCTGACAGGATCATCAAGGTCAAGGCTGGACAAGCTCAGTTTGGATGTGGAATCTGTACAGCTAGGGATGCTCCCAGCAGCATTCAGCTTTGGCTGGAGCAGAGCACAGTCACAGTAGTGCACACTCTTGACTACAGTGGGAACACACCAGTATTCAGTAGATAGTGAGGAAAATTAGATTTATTCTCAAGAAAAGCATATTTTTTGGGATAAAATTAAGGAATTAAGAATATAGAACTAGACTTATTACACGAGGTCAAATGAAGACTACTTAACTTTTTAATGAGCTCACCCAGACAGGGTCTGAAAGGAAATGCAGCTTACAAATTAACTTCAGGCTTTTAGTCAAGAACTTCACTTTCCCGGATTGTCTTCATAAAGACCAACCTTGCACTTTTCAACTGGTCCAGGACAACCACATTTTCTCCACTTTGTAGCTGTAAAACCCTTCTGCAAAGCCAGCAGAAAGTGATTTACCAGGATTAAATACAGAGCTAAACACTAAAGTGTCAAAACCCATGGACCTACACAGAAATAGAGCCATGTTTTCACGGCTGGACAGGAATTAACTGGATTTGCCATTACCTTCTCAGTGCCTCTCTTCTTTTCTCTGGGCTGGTTGAGCTTAGCTTGTCTGTCTACTAAAATCTTCTGCCAGTAACGTTGTTCGTTGTCACCTTGAGGGGAAAATGGAACATTGAGGCACATGAACACAAGTTGTACAGACAAGTAGATGCAGTGTGAGGATGTTCTGATGAGGAGGAATCTTTTCCAATAGAAACCCCACAAGCTTTTCCCCATCAGTATTAAATTCCCCAGTGACAGAAGTCATACAACGTTGCACTCTGCAGAAGGAGCTCAAGTTCCACCTCAGCACTCAGAGACCCTAAGATTCACTGATTTACTCAACCTCTGACTCATTTTCAACAACTACCAAACAGGAAAAAAAATCATTACTCTAAGAGCAACTGAGATTGTTTTGTTTCATCAAAACCTCTGTCTGGGGACGCCAGGGGCCCTCAGGAACACTTGAACATGGGCTGCTCTTGCAGCAGTTTGCCACTGTTTGCTCTGGTTTGTGATGTAACTGTCATGATGGGAATCATGTTGCACAGTCTCATCGTTGATCTTTAGCTAGAGGGAAGTTTCTGAGTGATCTTGGAAAATATTCCTGAAAAAATTAACACCCAAACACAATCACAGACACTTAGTGTCTTGCCACGTGAAAAGCTGAAGCTGTTTAGTCAAAGTCAAATCCTGAGGAGAAAAATATTACTGGGAAAGCTTTAAGCCCTTCAGTAAGGAGCATTAAAGATCCTTATTCTTCTTCTGTCTCACCTACCACCATCAGAAATCTTTACACTGAGTCACTTGTGCCTTCCTGGGAAGCTTTTCCATTCTCATTTCTATGAGCCAGTTGGGAAAAAATAAATCTTAAGACTATGAATGGAATGCTCCTACAGTGTACTACTTCTAATCTACTCCAGCACTCTTTCATGTAAGGATACAAAATCGGGGACAAACACACACAGAGCACACACAACTGTAAAATGCCAAGTTGGAAGGTGTTTCTGCATCTCTGGAACACATTGGAGACAAATCCATCTCCAAATGACATTAGCAGCATTCACTGAGTCTCAAACTGTAATTAACTTGGGTATTATCATGAAGGTTAATGCTCCCATTAGAGCTTTTCCTTCTGCAGCCCTTAATTGATGTTTTGGGGAGCTTACAACCCTGCAAACATGTAACTGAGCCCTGTGTGGGGATCTGTGCAGGCCTGGGGTAAAATGTTTAAATAGACACAAGAGAACCTCATCTGGATTATTTTACCTGTTATTTTTTTTTGCACATTTAGAATTTTCAGTGCTTGTCTGGAATTTAGAAGTTCCATAAATACACTAACTTTGAGAGATTTCCCCTTTTTTTCTACCCCTTGATTCCATAAGGAGGTTTCTCTGCACTTGAAAACTAACACAAGTTTAATACAAGATAGGAAATAATTGCATAAAGAAATGACACACATGAAAATGAAGTTCCAAAGTAGAAACAGGAATCTTTTTTGTGTGTGTAAACACAATTGAACAAAAAGGCTTAGTGTGGCCTAAGCTACTCAACTTCCTGAAAAATAAAAATGACTTAGAAGGCAAGTGCTAAACCCAAGCCAAAAGCATCCATGCTGTTAGATCCTTATCCTGTTGTTTCACACCTCAGGATTTAACTCTTCCTTGAAAATTCTTTGGCATCATCAGAATGTAATATATTCATACAGCTGAAATGTGAATCAAGTTCTATAGTTCTGGAAGAAGTCTATAGCCACTGGAAGGAAATAAATTTTAAAAGAACAGAATTAAGTTGATAACGAAGCAAAAATCACAATTTTGCTCTAACAGAGGCACAAAACCCTTCAGAGTTTTAGCAATTTCACCGTAACTGCAAGATAAGAAGACTCACAGGAAAAAAAATGGACTTTCCCCCAAGATACCTAAATATATCCCTGAGTGCATCATGTGAAATGATCTTTTTCACAGTACTTAAGTCTTCTGCTGTACTTTCAATAAAAAAGAAAAAGCCTTACCAGTAAGAATTTCGAATTTCCAGTTGTTTTTGATCTGAATTTCTTTGTATGATCTCATGACCAGCTGTGCAGCCTCAGGAGTCTTGAATCGGACGTGACACTCCGTGTCTCCCTCCAGCATGTCCACATAAGCCACCTCAGCCAGCACTGCCAGAGCATCCTGTCAGAGCAAGAGAGACAACAGACCATAAATCACAACGAAAAACACACACAGAGTGCCTTTTGGACCCTTGCATTTGGAGGTCACTAACATTTTCAAGAAGGTCATGAAGTAGGAGGCACTGACTCAACGTGATGGTTTAATCCATCAATCTCTTGTCAAAGAGTTCTGATTTAATGTGTTTTTGTCAGGAGATTATAAGTGGGTTCTGATTTATGAGCCCACAACATCCACACGTCTCATCCTGCCCTCCAAGAACAACTTAAAGCAGTAATAAAGCAGATACATATGGAAAAACAGTATAATTTTGCTTAATGAGCTAATTGTATCAACAATTTTCCATGTCAACGGATTTCTTTCTGAAATTATGTATGCTCTAACACCAATCAATGCTGGTCCAACAAAGAGGTAACAAACTTCATTCCACACATTAAATACACCCAAAACAGCTCATTTGAGAAATGAATAGCAGGAAAGCAAATCTTTCCATCTTCATCAAGTGACCTCTGCCTGGAAATTTTCCCCGAGAGCTGAAGGAAGAAGAGTCACAAATGCTCTTGCAGATGAAGTACTTGACTTGTAATTCCTGATGCTGGTCCAACAAAGAGGTAACAAACTTCATTCCACACATTAAATACACCCAAAACAGCTCATTTGAGAAATGAATAGCAGGAAAGCAAATCTTTCCATCTTCATCAAGTGACCTCTGCCTGGAAATTTTCCCCGAGAGCTGAAGGAAGAAGAGTCACAAATGCTCTTGCAGATGAAGTACTTGACTTGTAATTCCTGTCCTGCATTCTAGTCAATTTTGTTCACAGCAGGCAGCTGGGTAGGATGCTTCTATTCAGGGATCACACACTGCTTTTAACCCTCCACAACCAAGAACAGGCCTAAACCAAGACCAAAGTCAAGTGACAACACTCTTGGGATCATCTGAGAGCCAAGAGCAGCTACCTGCCAGCCTTATTCTGCTATCCCAAAGTCATGGAAAACTACAACCCAATAGTTCCCTGGAGTTGGCAAATGTTATGATCTCTGAGAAGCACCTTAAGAGCAAAATATGGAAGCAGTGCAGTATAAGACGTGAAAATGATTTGTAACTAGTCTGCCAAGGCTTCTGCAGTGTGTGGAAGGTATTAATCCTGCCACGCATCCAGAAATACAGGTCAGTTCAGGAGGTTTAAGGAAAAAAAGCCCTAGTAGCATTGCTTTGTGGCTGAGAGGTCAGGAACACAGCGAAGCCAGGCCAGGTTGAAGCTCTGCCTTTGACATAGTTACACAACTAATAAGGCCAGAAAACAATAAAGAGTTAGTGTTCTGCTTTTTTAGGAGTAGATCTTCATGTTTAGCTGTGACACCAAGTGAACACAGGAAGGTGTCTCCTGCAGTCCACGGGGCCCTCAGAGCTTACAGGGATAACTACCACCAATACAGTGAGCTGAGCTAAGGCTGAGTAAGTTCAAACTCTACCATCACTTGTTTTCCAGTGAAAGAGTCTCATCTCGCCGAGGTTTAAGCCTCCCACATTTGCAAGCAGCCACTTCCTCAGAATGGCCTCCTCAATTATCAATACAGACTGATAAATCACCTCAGAAATCCCACTTTGAACTACTCCTAACTGGTCAGGAGATTTATTCCAACCTGAGTTAGAGTTGGTTGAATTCTTTCCAGCTGTTCTTCATCCAAAAGTGCAATTTGTGAGACAATGTCCTGTGTCACACACAATGTGAAAATGCCTGTCCTTTCCTTTGGAAAACTTGTAATATTTCCATTTCAAAAGGATGAGGCTAAAACCTGCTATTTTTCCTTGAAATAATATATTTAATGTGGGAAACTTTCATGTCATGACATCACACCAAACTGAGGGTATCCTAAACCTTTTCAAGAGAAATTCTTTAAAGAGAACTTTTTAAAAGAAAAAACAGCATTTGCCATGGGAGAAAAGCGGGTGATGGAACTGACAAGCTCTGCTGCTCCCACTCTCCCTGAAATGGAGTTTTGTAGTTGTAAAAGTCCCACTAAAAGACAAAGAGAACTGGTTTTTCCTGCAGAGAGTATTTCCCTGTCCCCAAATCCGTTTCATGGCAAAAAATCCCAATAAACCTTTATAGATTTCTTACAGTATGAGCGACATATGCAGAACACTGCATCAGTATCCAACTCCCCTTTACAATGGGGAAGCATTACTCATCCTCTAGAGAATTCGTTATTTTGGTCATTATTTTCACCACAAACTTGACATTGCTTGAAGCACACTGAAGCCCTGTTTTCTCTTTGAAAGGTCCTATTTTGCCTCTGTAAAACCTGCCATTAGCAGCTCCTGGGGAAGAATCTGTACACAGCTCCTGGCCAAACAGATAAAATAAATCCCTGGGACTGCGTAAATGCTGTTCCATATTCACACATTTGCGGGGCAGTGAGAGAGGAAAGGCTAACAGCTACCCTGAGGTTACAAAGGCATTACCTTGATCTGCTTCCTGCCCGGCAGGGGCTCAGTGCTAATGATCTTCACAATTACTCCGCTGACAAACTGAGGCCCCATTGTGTTGGCCTTGGCAGGAGGGGCACAGTCTTCAGCTACTCGAGTCAAAAACAAGGGAGAAAACCGGAAGGAAAATGAATTTTTCACATTTATCAGGTTGAGAAACTGAAAATGTTATGAAAGCACATCAGGAAGATGATGTAAACAAGCTTCAAATATTATTACTGTGGGTTAAGTTGTTTTCTTCTTTTTAAGCCAAGGATCAAGACACCACAGGTTAAAGTAAATTTGGGCACAACAGAAAGAAAAAAGCTTCAAGACAAAAGTCTTAGAGCGCTTTTTAGAGGGTTTTCTTAGAAAAAAAACCCCAATTCCATATCTGAAAAAAAGTAGAAACTTCACTATGAAATTTAACATAATATGACTATGAAATTTAACTAAACATAATTACAAAGCTCCTTTTCACCGGTTGCAAACTGGGTTTTACTGCCCTTGGAGAACTTGTGTTGTCAATCACTGCAGGTAGAGTTAAGCCTAAGCAAATCAGGTCCGAGCTACACCATTAAAATCCTGATTTACCTCTCCTTAAGAATTACAGTTAACCACAAAAAAAATCCTTAAGCCTGAGAAGAGCTACTGGCATGTGCTGAAATTATTACTTGTTTCAGCCTTCATGAAACTCCTTAGTCCTAAATCTATTTAAATATGGAGGATTTGCTTCTCATACCTAACATTCAGAGACAACACCAACACTTTACAATGTTTAGAATGTTTCTGCAAGATCAGGGCCGTGCATCCCTTCTGGGTACTAGAATCATGCAGAAACCAAGGCAAACCCCAGGATTACTTCTGTCATTCTCATGTTTCTGCACACAAGATTCTGTTTCCATCTCACCCATAGACTCAGGTTTGATCTGAGACATCGTTTTCTTCAAGGAGGCCATGCTGGCTTTCTGCAGGGCCAAATATTCCTGCTTCAAATCCATCCATTCCGTCCTGAAAGCAGCAACAAAAGCACGAGAGGTTAGTTTTAAACAAGAAAATAATGTTTAGGAACTTAACAAGACAAAAGAGTTGACAAACAGCTTGAGGAGGACGTGGTGAGCAGTGCAGATCATTCTTCCATTAGAGATTTTCCTGCATTTTGGTCAAACGAAAACTTATCCTATCTGCACGTTATTAGTTTGCTTTGAAACTTAACATCAACCTATAAATCAAAGATGTGAGTTCCAAATTTGTTTTGCATATTCAGCACACGGAAGAGATTAGTAAAGTATTTTGACAGAGCACAAATTCAGAGTTAGCTCACTGACCTTGTGTCACTATATGAAGAATCTCTCTTTTTCCACAAAAATCACTGATGAAAAATCAACAACTGGTTAAACCCACCAAAACTCTCCTGAGATAAGGACATTCCTCACTATTCAAATGCATTTTGGTTCCAAAATCTCCCCCATGGCAGGGACTTATGTATTTACATCCATTTAGCATGGAGATGTCTCTGCAAACAGCCCCAGCTTTGCTCCAGAGCTACACAATGCCCACGGTGCCACAGTGAGAACGACTCATTGTTCCCCTAATCTGTGCTATCAAACGAGCTGATAGAGGGTTTTTCAAGAGGAGGATATCTTGTGGTAATGGTTTTAGCTGTTAACATTGACAACTGTGGACTTCAAAAAAAAAACAGTGGGAAGGACTCACCCAGGATCATACCTGCTCAGCGCAGCAAAGGCATTGAAATGACAAAAGAGCCACGAAATGGTTCTTGGGAGATAAAACGGCCACACCAGCCCAGGGCAAGGCCTGGTATAAATATAAGCTCAAGGAGGGAGTTATTACCTTGACTCGCAGCGAGAGGACACCATGGGCAATGAGTCGGGTACGTATTTCCAATGCTTATACTCTTATATTTTTATGACTACTTTTGCTACAGCTGACTAAAACTTAACTATTTAAAACTCTGTTTGATGCAGTTTGCTCACAATTTCGGTGAAGAGGACAAGCACCAGCAATAACTTTTGGGTTTTTTTTCCTCCTGGACCCCTTTTACTTTAACATGGAGGTGCTTTCTGTGATATACAAAAAGTAAGTGCTTCCATGTTTTAGTAGAGGTGAATCCTGATCACAATCCTGAAGCAACACCCGGAATTTTCCTTGGGTTTTTGTCTACACTTGGGAAGAATTTTAGATCCTGGAAAAGCAAATGGAAGAATTTTTGATGTGATCAAAACTTCTAAAAGAACTAAAGTGATTTAAGTGATTTTTTAACTTTCAAGGACTCCCTTTGCTTTAACATGGAGGTACGTGCTGCCTAAAAAAGTAAGTGCTTCCATGTTTCAGTGGTGGTGGATCCTAATATTCCAAGGCTTCTTACAGCAATGTAACTGCTGTATCACTGCATTATCAGAACTATGTATGTGCTTTGTGTGGGTTACTATTTCTTCACAGAAGGACCCCCACGACTTAAATGTGGATGTACTTGCTTTGCTCCTCAATAGTAAGTGCTTCCATGTTTTAGTGGTGGTGTATCCTTTCTCCCAACAACTCTCTTGCCTCAAAACAACCCCAAAATGGCATTTCTATAGAAAACACAACGTTGCAGCACAAGATGGGAAGGACCCCCTCGACTTTAACATGGGAGGTACTTGCTGGATGCCTCAAAAGTAAGTGCTTCCATGTTTTAGTTGTGGTGACTCCTGTGAGCCCAACAGTTTGGACTAAACTCTACATCAGGAAGACTTGGGAACTCTGCTAAGTGAACTCTTTTGGCTGCAGGCTAATACTGTTGCTAATATGCAACTCTGTTGTATAGAAAGTGGAATTGCACTTTAGCAATGGTGATGGACTGTCAGATACAAGACTCATTCCAAAGGCTGGAAAATGTTTTGACTGAAATAAATTTTGTGATTCTTCAGCAATAAAATAAAGGATGCAAAATGTGAAAATTTCCTGTATCCGACTCTTAAACACTCAACACGTGGTACAACGGGCAAAGTGAATGTGAACCCTATGAATTCATTCCATAATTTGTCAATAAATCCCTGACTACCCACCCCCATAAATGGAAGGACAGACATGCAAAAATTTGGATTTTGCTACCCCTTGGTCTCAGCATATAAAATTATTTAACCTACTTGGAGAGTACTCTGAGTGGAATGACTTCTTCTCCCATTTTGTGCCTTTCTTTGTGCTTCTTCTTGTGTTTCCTTTTGGCTTTGGAAAGGGATGTGTCTTTCTTGTCTTTGTCTTCTACAGCAGAAACTTCTACCAATTCCACAAGAAATAAACACAAGTTAAAAGATGAATCAATAAAATGACACTTGGCACTTAACCATTTGCAGCCATTGAGTTTATACTCTTTCTTGTCACTAAATGTGATTCCAATGTAGGTTTTCTTATCTCCTGTAAAAACCTGGGATCATCTGATTTTCCCCTTTGTATTATAATCACCCTTATCTAGGTCCCTCTGCTGTCTCCCTTTGCTCTGTGAACCCACACTTCACTCAGCTTCTATTGGTATCAACTTCTTTTACTTTTGATTATATTTACCTTTGGTGTGTTGCAAGTTCTATTTTTCCAAGCAGCTCCTTGGTCTCCTGACCCTTGGTTTAAATTTAACCAAGGGGAATAAATACCACATTCCTAAGCTGGCCTAGTGCCCCCCCCCACTACATCCACCACCTATGAGAGAAATCTGCCACGTCATTCGCGTGTATGAACCATGACACTAAAACCAGATGCAACCAACTTTACCATTGGAATCTTTTATCGGAGCTTCTGTTGTTTCTTCTTTCACAGGATCAGCTTCCTCCTTTTCAACAGTTTTCTTGACCTTTCGAGGTGCTGTCTCCCCATCTCCTGACCTGGCTCTTTTTCTCTTCCCTGGCCTGCTTTCCAGGCTCACCTCGGAGCTTTCTGTCCTGTCCCATTTCCTCTTCTCCTTCTTTGAGGGCTGCCTGGGAGCCTCAGGTCCCTCCATTTCAGAGCACTCTGATGGAGTCCTGTGCCTTTTGGACTTGGGTGCTGGCTCTGTGCTGGTAGTGTTGGTGTTCGATTCCTTTGGCTCTGAAGCTGCCTGGGCATTGCTTTCCTTCTTCATTTTGGATTTCTTTTTTTTCTTCTTTTTCTTCTCTTCTGTATTAAAAAGCACAACATTTAAAACTGCCCATGATGAAACACTAGGTGAACTAACCTAAGTGAAACCACATGTCAAGACTGAAAGGTGCCTGAAGAGTGGGAAATTGTATTGCAACACAAAAACAAGGCAAAGTGTTTCAGTAATTAAGTTGCATCATAACCCTGTGATGTTGCTTTGGAAGTTACTACATGGGACTTGCTTTTTCTCAAGTAATTCTGAGTCATGCAAAGATGCTTTAAGTTTATTCCTCTGCTCATATAGGAGATTCCAAAGAGGAAGAGAGTCAAAAATCCTGTTTCTACAGTTCCACAAGGTTTGTTCTGAAATATATCAGATAATCACAAACTCTTAATTGTAATTTTGCTCTTATTTCTGTACCTTTATCTTCAATACTGAATATTTTTAGAGCAATTCATCAAATTTGTCTTGTGCTTAGATAAACTAATGATGGATAATGATGTCCAGTCTAAAAGCTGCTCCGGCAGCCTAACAGGGGCAACAGAAGAACGAAGTAGTTAAGTTCCTGATCAAGCAGGGAAAACAAAAATGGAGAAGTGAACTGGATTTTAACATAAAAAAAGCAGAAATTAATTACATTTTGGCCCTGATACAGCTTAAGGTTGACAGAGGTTCTTGATTCCAATCACTTACCTACTACAGTGCTGTTAGTTGAGTTCAGTGTAGGAACAGGTTTGTTCTTTACAGTTTTGGGGAACATCCCAGGTTTCCTCGGGGCTTCTTCTGGGGGGTTATTCAAGAACTGAAAAGGAAAATTAAAGCCACAAACACTTAGTTATTTTTATTAAGCAATTATAAAAAGAAAAGTATTATTACCTTTTAAAGAATCTCTGTCCAAGTTATAGCCAAGAGTCCTAATCACATTTCAACACATAAATCACAGTTAAACCCAGAAAATTAGATATAATCAAGTTTGGATGATGAAACTGAATGAGGAAGTCAAATAGCTATTTTACTGTTCCACAGAGATCTCTAGCTGTGTTAAAGGTGTCAAGAGTGACCAAGTTATTCCCCCAAAATATCTGTTATAGTTCTACAGAGTCTCAAAGTTGTGAACAGAACTAAAGTTTAAAGAACAGTGGAACTGACTGCAGGTCTGGGGGTAGGAGACTGGAACATAAGTCCTGCTAAGTGATGGTTTTAACTGACACTTGAGGATTTTCCCCAAGATTCAGCAGGTGAACTAACACTAGGAGCAATGTGAGCACCAGCACTCACCTCAATAGCTTTCTCTGCTTGCTCTTTAGTTTCAAACTCCACGAAAGCAAAGCCCTTGGGATCCCCTGTGCTCCTGTACCTGGGGATACTGACATATACCACGTTGCCACACTTCCCAAACACACGCTCGATCCAGCTGTGGTTCACATTCTTGGGAAGCAGCTCCTGAAAGAGAAAGAAGATGGAAGTTATGTGTGACAACAAGAAGTTTATTTAATCAGTAATTACTCTCGTTGAGAGGTTATAATGCTCAGGTGGTAAAAAGAGTGATCTGAGAAGAGATCCCTAATCATTCACAGACCTATAACACATATTACATATTTAATTTCGATAGATACCTTCTTCCTGTGACAGATCCCAAGACTTTAGCTGCAGCTGCATCTTCGCAACATGAAATATTTTGGGCAATTGGAGCAAACCTAAGTGTGCAATGTCTCAAACTAACCACTGCAAGGCACAAGGAATTTCTGATTTATCTTTTCTGCTATCACAGAAAGAATTCCTGTAGGTCAGGGCAGAGTCCATGCTGAGGAATTCCGGCTGGGAGCTGACATTTCCCAGTTAGCCCTCACAGCCTAGTTGATCAGATTCAGAGACTTTCAGATGACAAAACTGTCTCAATTCTACTCCTCTGAAGTCCTTAGTACAGCAACACCTTCTAGCAGCTTGCAGCCATCACCTCTCAGTTGCTCCATACTCCACTCCCCAACAAAAGGGAAATCCTGTCATTCCAATCTCTAACTAGACCCACCTGAACACTTCAAACCTCACTCTCAAATTCAGGCCCAAACAACAACACAGTGTTAGCAATACCTGTTTTTATTTGCTGCACTAAAACGTTTTCCTAGCAGGGAAATACTTATCACATTCAGAGAGAAAACTATTTTTTCCATGAACTTTGTCTAAGAAACATTTCTTTTGTCAAAGAAGGAATGATTAGAGCAATCCAGATAGTCCCTTATCCGGATGGGCTGAATTTTGGCCAGGATTACTGTGGATCTTCACCACAGAAACCTTGGTGCCTGCTGGAAATTACTAACTCAGCTGCTAACAGCTACAGGTATAGATCCAAACTGACATGAGTCATGAAAAGCTTTATTCAGACACAAAGGGAATTCCACACTGGCTCCAAACTGAGTAAAACTCCCCCAGGATTGAAGTATGCAACAGCTCAGCCAACAGATCTCTTCCTAAGCTACCACTCCAGAGGCTCAGCAAGGTGTCACTCAGAATGCCATGGTGAGAAGCAGCTTTTTCCCATCAGCACAAACTATTTTCATTTAAACTGAGGAATTACTCCAGTACCAACATCGCCACAGGACAGTGTGCTATTAGGAGGAGTGGTCTTAAAGCCTCCTAAAAATCAGAGTAGTTCATTCAGGCCCATTCTGCCTTTACAAGAATGAAGTTTGAGTGTTACAAAACCAGAGGCACTTGCAGTAACAAATTTTTCAAACAGACTGTACTTTTAAATTAGCTCTGATCAACTTGCAAACTCAGCTAGATCTTCTATCACAAAACTAATGAAGTCGTTATTATTACACAGCTTTGAGTATGTTAATGTAATTTTGGTACCAGTGTTGCTTCTCTAATGGCATTAACTAGAAAGCTCAGAGAACACAGCAACAGCTAAATGAAATTGCACCTTTTCTTACCAGCAGTTTGCTCAGCATTTATGGCCCAAGAAATCAGTGCATCAAGCTAACCCCTTCCTTGCCACAGCCACTTTCAGTCCTTGCTCACATCCTTTGCTTAATTCCTTTCCTCTCTCTATGCTGCCCAAGCAGCAGCAGCAGCCACTGCTCAGTCAGCCAGAATATTGATGCACAGATATTTGCCCTCTTAAAACATGAACTGCAAGGAAGTTGGTAAGTTTTCCTAGCTGGAACTAAGGATCCTGCCAGCCCTGAGGCTCACACGAGGCCTTACCACATAGACAGTTCGACTATCCACGTCCATCGGGCGCTCACCCAGCGGTTGGCGTCTCCTGATCCTGGTTCCTTCCAAGTCCAGCTAAGAATAAGGAGAAATAAGAGTTTTCCATGAGGTTATTGCCCACTTCAGCACATCTATCACTATTTTCCCAGCAAACTCAGAGCAGTGAGATGGTCAATACCTCTACAACAGATGAGCTTTTCACAGCTCGAGCTATCAGCTTCCCATCAGTAGTGAGCTTCTTCATCTTGTTGAAGGAAACAAGCAGTGAAATGTCAACATCTAGGGAGAAAAACAAGTGAAAATACCAAATCAGTGTTCTAATCTGACATTAAAACTCCAATAAGCATTGCTTTAAAACCATCTGGATGCTATGCAGCCAAATATCCACAGAACATTTTTACCACGGAAACTCAATGACACCTATATTTCATTTTCCTTATCAAAGGCATTTTGTCATTCTCCCTCCCCACTGATAACCATTGTCCTGGAAAAGAAAGGAAGCCAAACCTCCTTTCTGATGCAGTTTGACAACATAAACCCCATTTGCATTGAAAACATGCCTCTCCAGCAAGCACCTATGGGGCGTTTAGCTCAGTGCTGCCAACACAAAGAGCTGGCAACGAGTCTTGCTGCTAAAGCCTTGACAGAAAACTAGGTGGAATTAGTCTGAATATAAACATCTAATTTATATTGTTATTTTGTTATTATCTATTCTATAAAAATCTCTAGTATCTCTAGAAAATATAGGGTAAAATTTATGTAGTTATTATCTATTTTATTACGTATTCAAGGGAGCCCTTAAAAAGGGCCTTTAGAGGAACAAAACTGACCTTACAGTTTGGGGTGTGTGTCTGCCCTAAAACAGCTGATTGAACAATTATATTGACAATTTACTACACATGTACTGGCTTTTTAAGCCAAAATGTATTAGTCACTGCAGCTAATGTGTCAATTAATTCCTTCAGCAACTGGCAAACAGTTTCAGCTCCAAGCTCAACTTCCTACTGTGAAATCCAAACAGTCACACTGGAAATGGTTTCAAGAGACTCACAACATCCCTAAAGCCAAATTCACAATTTCCTATCAAACTTGTACAGAAAACATGAAAAAATATCTATAGCTAACAGCAAACCCAAGTGACACGTTAACTTTTGCACATATCTTCCCCACAAGTCAAGTCCTGGAAGTACCTCCAAGTGCAAAATGACTCCATACAAAGTTACAGAAGGATTATCAGGTGTCCCAAACAGCCATTTCTACTGCCTGGCAGATACCTCTAACTTACGGCTGGTGGGAAAGGAAAGGAATTTCCAGTACCAGCTCTGCCTCCTGAGGAGATTTCCCGCATAGAACTCCAGAGATCCACCTCAAAGTCACTTGTAACTGCAGCACAGGGAGGAAGAAAGTGAAACATGTACTGTTTACAGAAATCTATTGAATGCAAACTTACACCCATCTCTGGACTTCTCTATTTGCTCCCTGAGGAATCTGTCTTTGTGGAGATTAACATCCCCAAACCAGAAATCGACTTGCTTGGCTATGTCTGCCAACACCTGTTTCACTCTTGACCTCTTCTTCTTCTCTCTCTCCTTTTTCTGCTCAGTGCTTTCTTCTTCCATGGCTTTGTCTCTTGCTGTTTCAGCCTCCATTTCTGTCATTCTGTCAAATGAAAGGTAAATATAACATCAAGAACCAATTTTTAATGTGCAGATTTACCTCGAAAAACATAAAACCTTTTGAATGCATCAATTCATCTTCTTTTCGGTCACATTTCAGCCCTCCTTGAAAACTGCCAGTCACCACAGCACTTGATTTCACAGAGCTAAACAAAGCCCTGCTGCCAAAGAAAAATAGCAGACAGCTCGTGGAAAATTAAATTAACACCAAAATTAAAATCATTAACGCAGCAATAAGCATATGAAAGGCTTCTCAGCTCTCTGCCAAGGCGCAGCCACCAGGGAGGAAACCACCCCGACAACAGGATGGAGAAGATGGAAATGGTCTCCAAATTATTGTGCAAATCAGGCTGGAGAGCAGCTTCTCTCCCTGCTGAGAGCTCGAGATAGGAAAAGGTCAGCGATTACCTTGCAAAGATAAGGCAGGGAAAAACTCCCAGGCAAAGCAAGTTCAAGTTCCACTCAAGGAAGTTGTTCACATTCATAATCAGCAGAACTTAATGAATTAATAATCAGCAGCAACACAGTTAGCTGAGGACTACAGTGAAGGTAAACCTTCATTACGGGGCATGAAATGACCACACCAACATCTAATCATGAGTGTGGCTTTATGGACAGCACAGCTTTATTTTGAGAAGCATTTTGAGTCACTCATTGCTTGGGGTTTCCTTCCCAGGAGAGAGGATCTCAGTCAAACTTAAGGAAAAATAGTGTTCTGGGCTTCCCCCTCACTTGGTGCTTTGGAAATGAAACTTTGGGGAATGACTTCGGAGGAGCCTGAGTAAATGTCAGCTGTCAAAATGTACACAAAGATTAATTAATGAAGCAATCACCACATGCCAAGGTATGAGGTAGTCTGTGTTTTTCACTTGCCAACTCTTACCCTGCTCTGATAAGCAATTAAAACTAGAAGAAAGCAACAGCAGGGTCAAAACTCCACTCTGATAAAGCAAATTTTCCTCAAAGAAATAAAATCACGGTATGTGGAAGTGAGACCAGGAAAAGGAGGGACGATGAAGCAAGGGAAGGAGTTTAAGGAAAGCAAAGACAATGTAGTCAAAATAATACAGTTCCACTCCAATCTGTAATAACTTATCTCCATTAAAATCAAACACTAAACATGCCAGTTCTAAACTATATCCAAACCCAACATCTAGGAAACATAATAAAACTTGACTCTAATCCAAGGTCTGGGAGAAAAAAGGTTCAGATATAAAATACACTTTAAAGAACTAATGCAAAGGTTGGGTTTGCTTTGGGCATTTTCATAGCAAAAGAGTAATTTCAAATATTTTAAATGCTGTGAAAAAATTTTCATATAGTCAGTGGCAACACTTGATCTTCTGGGGATTTACTCCAAAATCAATCCAAGTGTTCAGCAAACCAAAGACACATCCTGGGATATTCTGAGGGTAATTTACACACAGGCAGAGCTGGAGCACTGAAGTTCTCCTGCCTTGTAACTTCTCTCCACGCAAAGGAAAGAAAGGACTAGGAGTTAATACATCAACTTAAAGCTTTGCTTCCATCTGACAGGGATGAGTGTTAAAGCTGTTTCCAGGCACAGGGAGACCCCAATGTGTCATTCCTGATGTGGAATTCCCTTGCCTCTATCATCACAGCAGTTGGAAAGTGAATTTGTGTTCAGGAGACACTCAGTGCTCTGGTCTAGTTGACGGGTCAAAGGTTGGGCTTGATGATCTCAGAGGTCTTTTGCCACCTCTGTTTAGGTTGAAAATTATTCACAGTTTTTATTCTGTGATTCTAACAAAATATATGCCCCCAGCACCAGACTATTAGATGGATTCAGCTTCACGAAGCAGCAGCTCACTGACAGCAGAAGGGCACAGCAACTCCCTCACCTCAGTCCTCCCTCAGAACATCTCACCCTCTGCTAACTCAGCCGAATTCTGTGACCTGAGAAGTGAGCTATCTTCTGGTCCTTCCCTGCTGTGGAAAAGCAACTGGTTAAGGAGCTGAAGAAGCAGGAGAGCTGATGTTGGGAAGCAGCAAGAATAAGCAGTTGGCAGCAGGATGGAGATGAGCAGGAAAGCAGAGGACTCTGCTCCTAGCACCTGCACATAGAAACACTGGAGAGAACCTCATCTTCTCCACCCTTCAAACCAAGGCAAAACACACAGCATAGAACACATTTTTCTATTCTTGACTAATCCTGAATAAGTGAGGCAACTGCCTAAATTTCAGCTGCTGAGAAGCACGACCAGGACATCTTTACCACCACATAGGCACCGACCTAGTGTAGATTAAACCCACCTTGTGTGAATCAAACACTAACACAAGCACAGGGAGCTTTGCCTAAAGCCTGTTATCCCTCACATCCCCACGCAGACAAACACTAGCTAGGACCAGCTGAGGGCAAAGCCACCTCGGAGGAACGAGCGGCAGCGCGGAGCCCTCGGGCCGGACAGCACCGGGCGCTCGGGGCGAGCAAAGCGCCGGCACAGGCGAGGGCAGCGGAGCTCTGCGCTCCCTGCG